CAGCTATTCGACACTAGCAAACGAATGAATGCCAGAATTCATATGATGCTGCTACAGCTGATGTCAAAATACCTTTTAGTACATATGTTGTCAAAATAAAATGAACAGTCCAATGATCATTTTACTGATATGTATAAAGACTGCAAAGGCTGAAAAATCTTGAAGTCTGTATGAAATTGGAGGTAGTTTGAGGGTTAATTTTTTTATGCTTTTTAAGCTTAAAAAGGGTGGGTCATATTATACATGAATAAATACGGTACTTGTAACGTTTTTTCTAATAAAACTGAATTTTTTATTGTTATACCTTGAAAAAAACAACTGAAGCGATGTGATATAAAATGTATCACTATGATAAGGAGGCATTCGTGTGGTCACACAAACATACCTCTTCTGTAGACCGGACTGTCTCATTTCACAGCCGTTCATGCAGCCGACTCGAGCGGCCTACGGCCCACGTATGTGAACGTTGATGGCAGTCTACATCGACTGTAACCAATGAACTGAGACACAGCCTAAGTGTTTCCAAGCAGGCTGTTTGGATTATTAATTGGCATAAATCACCCCTCTCRTTCAGATTAAAAAATTCATTCAAGCTTCTGATTGACCTTCGTTTCTTAACGTAAACAGATCGAAAAATTCAAAATATTCAAATTGGAGTGTTCACACTTTTATTCTGCCATTTATGTCCATATAAATGTGGTTAATAAAGAAAGCARCATAGACACACCACCATCCATTTACCACATTTTTTTACACCAGATCATGTTGAAATTGTTCCAGTTATGTAAGATAACCTTTTTGATTTTTTTTTTGTTCACTTCAAGCATTCAAGCCCTGAGAAGACATTTCGTCTATGCGACAYGTTAAATACTTTACTGTTAATGGAAACTGCAGTAACCCACTGCTGCTGTTGGACCTACAGGTAAGTAGGCATTAAAAACACATTTGAATGTCATGTCATCATAAAAACTACAAAAAAAATGAGAGTAGGCAAAAGCAATCATCACTTCCCTCCATCCTAATGGTCGGCTTTTGAGGCGCAGAAAGCTGTGTTCTTTGCTCACCATGGCAACAGATGAAAGGAACACTTGCTTCGTTTCAGTGTTCCATCTTTCCACTTTTCTTTGTAGGAATGCATTTCACGTGGTGGCGGAGCAGCAGTGGAGTCTGACAATCGTGTGTTTGAACTCCAGCCACTCTGTGTGTTTCTGTGCAAGACACTGAGCTCGCCCCACTGCGCCCGAAAAACGTCACTGGTGGGTAAATGAGAAAAGAGGGATTTAATTCTCACAATATCAACAGAAAATAGAAGCATTCTTTGAAAGTTGAAAGGGTCAAGGAGAAATATGTTGCAAAGTCTTTTAGCAAACTTCAGTGAGGTTAAAAAAAGATGTTTTGTGGATTTTTACRGGACCAATTAAAATCGATGCTTCCCAAACATTTCAGCTTCCATCCTGTTTACCTCTTCACAGTAATAAACATGAACCTGTCCCAAATGCTTGGAAATGTTTTGCTGCCCTAAATTTTAAAATGACCTCCTGTTTATCTTTAGAAATTTAACTGTTTCTTCCATTGTGGAGAAAACAAGCTTGTGAAATTTGCAAAGAAAATATTGCTTTCTGTTGGTGTTGTTATGATGTTTATTAATAAATTCAAGTTTTTTTTACTTAGAAGAATTTCCTCAAACTGGCATTTAGATTTATTAAATATGTTTTAACTTAATGTGGAATGTTACATCTTATTATTTTAAATATGGCAGCAATTATGTATGGAGGACTGAATCTGACATAACTAGAAATAAAAGCAGAAATTTATAAATAAACACACACCAATTAAAGGAGAACTTTACCTTGTTTTATAATTTTGTTTGCCATCATATTTGTTTTTTATCTTCTTTTTTAAAGTTTAGTCAAAACCATATGCATAGTTAAGTGTTTTCCTTCTTGCCTTTGTTTTAAACTAAACATTAAGCTTTAAACTAAACTTAGGCAGCACAGGTATGGTTCCTGCTCTGTCCTGTCTGATGACCAATAGGAGAGGAGCAGACCTAAGAAGCTCCGCCCACCTTATTTGCATAATGAGGCAGTGAGGTGGAGTAAAAACAGCAGAGAAATGTAAAAGCAACACGTGGAAATTAAAATATTTGTGGGAAAATTATTTAAAAATAAATACAAACATTTAAGAGACACAAATGCATGTACAAGCTAGAATATAAGACATTTTTTCAGTTGTTTTACACCTTTTTTGTGTTAATTCATAGTTTTGATGCCTTCAATGTGAATCTACAATTTTCATAGTCGTGAAAATAAAGAAAACTCTTTGAATGAGAAGATCTGTCCAAACTTTTGGTCTGTATCGGATTTCTGCATTTATTTCTTATTAAGCCAGTTTCAGTCCTCCATAATTAAAATGGTGTAAATGAGAAAATATATGTTGAAATAATGCTCCATGAAAATCTGTATTTGTCTTTCTTTCAGCCAACACTTTGGCTCAGGGATATTCAAACGTGTCACGGCAGCATAACATTACAGCGCTGCGGCCTTCAGTGTAATGAAACCACGAGACAGATTCATAAATAAAAGATACTGACATGGGCCATGAAATCCTCTCATTTCCTTCAAACACGACTTTATTCCAGCACACAAAAATACAGAATCTCTTCTTGTCGCCCAAATTGTGCATTGCTACATTATTCATTATGACGCAAAGAAGATCAAAGATTAATCCCACTCGTAAAATTGGTTGTTATGTTATTATAGCCCTGGAAATATACCAARCCATTCCAGCGTTTTACCTCCGGTTTAGGAGCTGCTGTAAAAATAGAAGCATTTAGGTGTCGTGCCGTGAAGATTTGCTGCTAATTTTTGAAAGATGGATGCCTGAAACCTTTTTCTTCTTTGTTTCTTTCTTCTTTAAAAAATATGCTTTCAAGACTGAAAGAGCTTACGCAAAATTAAAGTGAAAGTGTTGCTGCTGAAGAAATTGATAAGTTTTATCATTTTATCAGAATGCCTTTAACCTTTATGGAGTTGGTGTTAAACAAAATTATATAAAGAAAAATTACCAAATGACTAAAAGTTATATCCAAACTAGGGCTGCCACAAATGATTATTTTTAATAATCGATTAATCACCGATTATTTGTTCGATTAGTCGATTAATCGAATCATACGTTAACTGAATATAAAACATAGAGCTTATCACGTCAGAATGCAGCTGCTATTATATAACCATGGTTAGATTTTAGCTATATGCTAACTAAAAATAACTGCTGTGGAAGGTACGTTCTGCTCTGCATATATTGCACAGGTTTCTCTTTAGTTTTCTTAAAATGATCCCACACTTTGAGCTCTGTTGTCAGGTAGCCATGATACCAGAGCCTGTCTGTATAATGTCTTGTGACGTCCACGGCCTACCCCAGTTACCGCTACTGTGCATGTGTGTCAAGGACAGAAAGGCAGATGTGGCAGTGGAAGGTGTCAAAGCAGTTTGGAGAGAAAAACAAAGTAAAACACAACAAAAAAAGAAAACGATTAATCTATTATTCTAATAATCGATTAGTCGTCGATTAATCGATTAATCGTGGCAACCCTAATCCAAACACGTTTACAAGAAATCTACCACATTCTCTAAATTAAACTGTTCTATATTTAAATTGCAGTCAGACTCATTGGAGTGCAAAACTTTCACAAACATTCATGAAAAACTGATTTAGAAAATGATATATATTACTTCTATTTGTTGTTTTAATGTTCTTCAAAGCAAACATTCGATGACTTTGAGCCACGAATCTTCTGTGTTTGTCTTCCTCACAGAAGTCATTTTTTAACCACTACTAATGAGTTTGATTTAATGACTGAATTAATTGCGTTGCCCATGTAGGGAGTGGTGGTTTTATTGTATTATCATGGGTTAATGAGCATGGCTTTGCACTGGGTGGATTTTTACCTCCCCTGCTAATAGTGCGATGCTAATAACGAGGCGCTGCTCTGCCTTGTTGATTAGAGTTCAACCCTCAGTTTAGACGTCGAACTAGTGCTTACCAGGATGTAAGGGATACCTTCTGGGTAATGCAAAAGAAACAAATTATGCTGGTTTTTTTTTTCTGGTCTCTTCTGAGACATATTCTGTCATGTCATCTTAATTTTTACATTTGTCCTTCTAGTTTTATTCACATCAGTTTTTTTTCTGAACGCTTTTCGGAACCCATCTCGTTCAGCAATTTTTGTGCCATTTCAACAATTCATATGTGAAAACATTCAGCTCCTTCCTGCTATGATTTTGGTATTTCAGCTATTGTATACCTTTTTTAGCTATTTCACTTTTTCGGCCAGCCATTGAAAATGAATGGCAGCATTTTCAACATCCTTCAAACCCTTCAAAATGTTTATAAATCTTCACACATTTTGTTCTGGTTCAGCTCTGTTTAACTTCCTTGTGTCATATTTAACCTTACAGAACTATAGTTTACAGCAATCTGGTAAAAGTTGGCAATTTCATAGTGGAAAAAAGTGAGCACTCACATGCGCACAGSTTTGCAAATGTTTTCTGACTTGAGATTAAAAAAGTCATGTTCATTTTTTTGTGTAATTATCAGCTATAAAGTAATATATTGTTTTATTGTATTAAGACAGAGCAAGTACAATCTGGTGACAATGCACACAGTACGGACATTTTTGTTGGCCTTTTCACAAAATACTTAAATTTAACAACTGCACAATTACAAAGAGTTTTGTTTTTACATTTCCCACCCATCCATTTAAAACTTTTATTGCAAAAGAAAACACAAGGATAGAAAGATTGAGGATAGTACAAAGACTTTAGCTGCAAATTTTTTTTTACTGAAATCAAAACCATTTGTATGATGACTGTAATGATGATGCTGCAAATCAAAATGACTATAAAGACACCCTTGAACCTTTAAAATAATGCAGATCATCCACTGTCTTCCATAACGAAGCTGTTAAACAAACACCTGTTGGTGCTCAGAGACTTTAAAATGATTCTCAGTTACAACAAATAAATTTAGGCTGTTAAACAAACACCTGTTGGTGCTCAGAGACTTTAAAATGATTCTCAGTTACAACAAATAAATTTAGTTAAATTTCAGTAAAATATTTGACTTCTCATATTTTGATATGTTTTGTTGCTTTTTCTGGTGGAAGGGAATAAAAAGAAGAGACTAAAATAATAAAGAGAAAAAACTGATGCTGTTTTACGAGCTTGAAGGGGCTTATCTTTCACAGACCACCCTCTATCTAACGTAAAAATATCAGGCTCAAAAACTGGTCAAATCCACTTGTTCAAAAATTAAAATAGTTTAAAATGAAATTAAAAAYCATAATTTTCTCTACTTGTGTAAATGTAATTATTGAACATTTTAATATTCATGTAAAACTTAGATTAACTTTAGAAAAGATTGAAAGAGAAACACTATAAAAAACTAAAATGAATATTTATGTGTATTCATGAACAATCTCGCCATCGTGTTCTTGCTATTGGGTTCCTTTGTGCAAAAATAAATGCATTATCAGTTTTTACATCTGAGTAGAGAAAAAAGAATAARGAATTGCTCGCAGGAACTCGAGTCACAAAGTGATTAAGGTGAAGCTCAGCGAGCATGAACGCTGAGCAAAAGAGCAAGAAATAAGATCAGCCTAACAACCCTCATGGTTGTTTTGTTCAGTGTGGAGTTAAAGTGTAAAAGGCAGTGGTGTGGAGACGAGGGACGGAGGGACTCACAGGGGMCCTGTATCCACTGTCCTGTGTTCATTGCTTCATGCATTGAAGAAGCACAATATCAGGGTCAACTTAGCACAAAAAGACACAAAATAACTGCTTCAGTTGTTCTTCTCATCACACTTGTTGACATATTATTATATCTGTTGCATTTGTTTCTCTCATGTCTTTTAAATGATTTGCTACATCATTTATGATTCAATGTTTGGTCTGTGATGGAGAACCTCGTCTCAAAGGACGCCATTAGCGGTTTTGCTGCAACAATTTTTTTAAAGCGAAAACTACACAAATACACGACTTATATCGTTTTATTTCTGATTGCTCCTCTCTGCTGTTTAATTGAGAGCAGGTRGTTTATGAGCTACACTTAATCATGCTTTGGTTTTAGATTTATTACCTGTAGATATGGAGTCWAAAACACTTTGAACCATTTCAACTGACAGATTTGGTTCTTTGAATTACGTTCCTGTTATTGTTGCTGAGTGTCTATTTATCACAAGCACTCCTAAAATAAC